GGGGGCGGTTTGGCCCAAGGAGCAGCGGTAGTCGCTCAAGGTGACCTGGCATGCTCGTTCGACAGCGTCGAATTCACAAATGTATTATATTAACCTTAGAATATTTACTTAAAGATTAGTCAGTTACGTATATTAGTGGATGGATTGTATGAAGGATTTGCCAGTAGATGTGTTGAGTAATATTCTATCATATACTCATGGAGAACCTGAATATGTGAAAATAACACATAGTGAAGCATTGAAGAGAATACAAAACAAATATAAGATGTCAAGACTTGGTCCTAAAATGACAAGACATGTGAAATCGAGAAAACGATATACAAAATTGAATACTGTATTATGAGAGAGGGAGTGTCATTTAGCTTGAAAAGTATAGAATACATAATAACAGAAGAACAAGAATAATTACTATCTTTGGTTTTTGAAGAAGTAGAAGATGATTTAAATTATAGAGTTAAACTTGATATTGAAGTTCAATTGGTGGGCAAAACTCCCAGAAAAGGAATATGGAAAAATGAATGTAGCTATAGAGAGATTTACTTTATGAATGACTTTGATGAATATGTAGATGAAGATAATATAGATGAAGTATGACATAAAGCAGTTGAAGAAATAAAAACCGCTATTGAAGGAGACCAAGATAAAGATAGTATAATAGAATATAGAATACAAGCCTTTTATTTTAAGTTAACAGTTATTGGAGACATTTACTACTAACATATGTTTAATAACATCTACTGTATTAGAAATATGGATTTGAAGATTGGATTATTAAAGGTGAGGGGTTATGCTATATTGTTGTCTATTGTTTTGCTTTTGTTGTTCTTTGCTTGGTTTGTTTTTGTTTGTTGCTTGGTTGGTTTGTTTTGAGTATGGAATGGATGAGGTGATGATGTATTGACTGTTATGGTTTCAATAAAAGGGATGAGGTAATAGATGGTTAGTAGTGATGATTTTGTGGAATGAATGAGATAGTTATGTATTCACTGTAATGATTTTGAACAATGAATGAGGCACCAAATGGTTAGTAGTTATGATTTTGAAAAACGAATGAGGTTATATGTGGTAGTCTGTTGTGATTTTGTTGTGAATATTGTGTGAGTTTTTATACTGCTATAAATTGAGTTTAGAAAACTTCTTTGAAGCAACGTTTTTAACATTTTGGGGGGTACGACTACTACGACTTTCTCGGGGGCGTCCTGCATCAGCGAGTAGACGCAACTGAGAGAGGGGAGAGAGGGGTTGACTTTACAACTCATTAAAGGAGACGCTTGTATCAGCAAGTCTCATAAGCACAACGACTCTTTAAAACAAAAGGAACACTGTATTCCACCCTCATGCCAGGCTCATCTAGCACAATCCGATGCAAGTTGTCCCCGAGAAGCCGCCCGAGTGAGGCATACGATTTTTTGGAGTCCAAATTTGAATTGCGCAGCAATCATGGTAGCACTTGTAGAGCTCAATTGTTTTCAGGTGTTCATCTCAATTAAAGTCAAAGTGGTAGCATGGGCTTGTCTGGAGGCTTGCTCAACACACCGCACAATGTGATGGCGCTTGCATTCGCAAGACTCGAATCTGACAGTATGATTCAGCCTCCGGATCGCCAGCCATCAAATGTGCTCGGGAATAAGCATTGTAAGAGGATTCAATGGGCTTTACCTCGGTGCGCACTGCTCCAGCTGGGTTGAGGTCTCCGGGAAATAGCATAGCAACTACCCAGAAGACGGTTGGAAAAATGGTCCCCTTCGTGGTTGCTATGTCAGTGTGGGGGAGGGTGTGGTTTGAGCTTGTGAGATGACACAATGAAAAAGTGGGCCCACAATCAGGCAACACAGAACAGGTGGCTCAACTCTGTCATCAGCAAAGTTCCTTTACGAAACAACAATTTTATTCAACTCGTCTACATCATCGGCTGCGAAGTGATTCCTAATGATGGATATATAGATTGTAATTCTACATCTGTCACGTGTGTGTGTGTCACCCTGTATCCAAGGTGGGGGGTCTCCGGCCAACGAAGACACCTCCCACCTGGGTGAAAACGTACCTGCCAGGTTGTGGTGTTCTTAAGGTGACTCCAATTTTCACGTAAAATGCTAACGCGTATGTTAAGCATTCCTGTTCCCTCAGCCAAGGTCTACTTGCATTGAAGGTCTAATTGCAGTAACTCTGGAATGTCCAAACCGATTCTGCTCTTGCGAGCCTATACCTGAGCGTGATCTGCAGCGCAGTCCTACCGCGGTGCACTGTGTGAACCCAATTCCTGGGCGCGTCAGCACAGGCCCTCAAGGGAGATCATTCAATCAACATGTTTCATCTTGCGCGATTTCCCCCAGCTCATTGTTCTTGCTCGAAACTGCTGACATTGTGCTGCAGAGCTCACTGTATGTCTTTTCAGAATGACATTCCATGCGTCTAGCTGCACTTAGGAATTCCAAGTTTTAATCCAACTGAGTACTTCATGCACAGTGTGAGTTTCTCTCCTTCCTAGGTCTTCTCTTTCTAGGTCTTGTGTTCGTTGCTAAAGGCTTGCTAGGTTGTAAGTGAAGCGTTTTTAAGTCAAGGGAGCGCCGATTTCAGCTTTCTGGCTACGTGCCAGTTTGCCCCACTCCACACACTCACACCCACACCCCCTTTCTCTCCTGGTGTTCTTTCGTTTGGGGCTTGTTTGGGTTGCTTTTCAGGCTCGTTTAGTCGATCCACCACCCCACACACACCAACCCCGGCCCCCCTCCGCTTTCGTTCTCTCTTGCTTTTTCGTTTCTCTTTCAAGGCCTTCCTCTGTTCTAGAAGTTTTTGAGGTTGGTAATCAGGTTTTGTGTCAAGCGCGAGCCACGCGCGTTCAGATTTTTTGGAGTTGTTTTCCTTCCTCTTGCGTTTCTCTTTCTAGGTCTTTTGTTCGTTACTAGAGGCGTGTTAGGTTGTAGAGCAGGCCTTTTTTGCCCAGTGTGACGGGACCTTGGCTGAGGGAACAGAAAGGCGGAAGGGCCCGAGGACCAGGAACGCTTAACATACGCGTTAGCATTTTACGTGAAAATTGGAACCACCTTAAGAACACCGCAACCTGGCAGGCACGTTTTCACCCAGGTGGGGGGTGTCTTCGTTGGCCGGAGACCCCCCACCTGGCTCCAGCCCCCTGCCAAAACTGTACAGGCTGTGACGCACACAGCTAGTACTTGCATTGAAGGTCTAATCATATATCTCTGGACTTTCGACACCGGTTCTGCTCTTGCGAGCCTATATCTAAGTGTGTGCGCTTGAAGCCCCTGCACTCAAAGGAGACCTTTCGTGCTTTTTGCAGGGCGTGCAGTATCTTACTGCGCGCAACGAAGCTATGATCACAGATGAGAAGAAATCAAGGACGCTTGATCCTGTACCTGCTTGACAACACACTGACTCCAATGGCTCTCCCTTGCGTAGGCTGTTTCCAGGTACATCAGATCGACGTAGACTCGCAGTTTTGCCCGCTTTCAGAATTTGTGGATTCTTGGCGTCTCTCATTGATGTCATGGCGGTTTTCAGGAGGTCTCATGGTCAGAACGCTTTACTTACCTTACTCCTGGTGCGTTATGCGTTCGTACCTAGAAGCAGACTAGTCCACAGCGGACGAAGGATCCTTAGTGCAGAGGTAAGTTGAGACCTGACGGCTTTAATGGAGCTTGAGCAGGCAGCCATTTTTGCACGCCATAAGCAGTCCACAGCGGACAAAAGCAGCCAGCCATTGCGCCGTAGCTGGGAGCACCCCATCCTTCCTTTTTCTTGTCCCTTCTCTTGGGCATCCCTCGATGCAATATCCAAGCGCCCCATGCCTTTTTTGTGTCCCTGGCCGCGTTTGTCGTAGCTGGGAATACAAGTTGTTCCTTTTCCTTTCTCCCGGTGCCCCTGGATGCATGCGTCGTAGCAACCCTTCTCCTTCTGTTTGCATGCAACCTTGGACGGTTGGGTCATATCTGCGTCCTTTTCTTTTCTCCCTTTCTTCTGCTATTTTTTCCCCATCCCCTCCCCCCCTGCGCGAAACGTGGTTATATACAAACAAACGAGGTGTTTGCAACAGGTTCTTGGCTGCTCACCGGTCTATCCCTTTCATTTGGTTCCCTCCTCATTGGCCCCGCACACACCTTCTACGTCTTTTCTTTCATGTCCATTCTGTCTTCATGTCCGGTCATCTTCACCCTTTTCTTCCTTTACGCGCACTTCTGCCGCTGCCTGGACCTTAGTTTGTGCACACGCGCGGACCTTTTTCAACCAGCTAGGCATAGGTGCTCCAGGTTGGCTACAAAGAGGTTTGGTTCATCGGTTTTCCCTTTTCACTTGGTTTTTCCGTCATCGGCAACCACCCACTTTTGTCTTGTCTCGTCCTCTTTTCATGTCTTCTCTCTGTCCCTCTTGCGTGTAAATGTACACGCGCACATCAGCCCCCTAGTCTTGCTTTGCCTCCCTTCAGGGAGGCCTGTGTGCGTGTAACCCTTGGAATCATAGGGAACCTTAAGGTTTGGAACAGGGGGACTGCCTGGCTTGTAACAGTGGCAGTCCAACGAAGAGGCTGTTACAAGTCACTGATATGGATTCTGGACGCAGAATCCACGTACCTGCTTGGTTGTGGTGTTGACAAGCTTTTACTCCAATCTTCACGTAAAGGGCTAATGAGTTCTGCAGATGTGCACGCTACGTCGTCACCTTGTCGTTCGCTCGATCGGTGTTTTCTTTTGGAGCTGCTGGCCACCTGCAACCTTCGGGACCTCCGCTAGATGGACCTCTACTTCCTTCTAGCTCTCCTTGCCTGTACCCTTAGGAATTGGAACCCTAGGCCGGCGTGTGGCACCGCTGTCAAGTCAGTACGCATGGTCCATGAGTGTGTTTGGCCTCGTGCCAACCCGGGGTGAGCCCGCAGAGTGCCTCCCGTGGACCCGTTGAACGGGGGTTTGTCGCTGTTTCCCTTGCTTTGGAAACGTAAGTGCCCACAGCGGGCGCAGTTGGCTCATGCCACAAGAAGTGGGATGTTTGTCTCATCTTTGGAATTCCAAGTTGGCTCATGCCTTTACGTGACGGCAGCGGCCAAAGCAGCCAGCCATTTCGGCAGGGCACAAGGTGACCGCAGCGGCCAAAGCCAGTTTAAGGTTCATTGGAACCTGTGGAGAACTTAGCCCCCTTCTCCCCCTGTGCTTTCTGGGGTTTTCCTGAATGTAATACTCAGGATCTCCCCTTTCCTTCTTTGGTGTGTCCCTGGACGATTGTTCGTAGCTGGGAACACCTTCCTTTCTCTCCTCTCCCTTTCTCTCCCTCTCTCTTTCTTTCCTTCTCTTTTTCCCCTCTTTACCCTCTTCCTTGGGCGTCCCTGGATGCTTTCGTCATAGCTGGGAGCCCTTCCTTTTTGGTGTGTCCTTGGACGCTTGCGCCGTAGCTGGGAACACCTTTGCTTCCTTCTCTCCCTCCTTCTCTTTTCCTTCTCCCCTCCCCCCTCCTTCCTCGCGCGTGGCGTATTTACAAGCAAACTAGGCTTTTGCAACAGGTTTCTCAATGAGGTTTGGACTGTCATCGGTTTGCCCCCTTTCATTTGGTTCCCCTTTCATCCGCCCCCACAGCCTTTTTT